TGATATATAACAAGTTTTGTTTCTCTTTATGGTTGGGTACCCCCTGTAAATAAAGCCCTAAATAGCCCATTGTCACCCTACTATAAGTGCAGTATTTAAGAAAGAGAGACAAGATACTGTTGAGTGCTAAAGTCTTTATCAAAAAATTGGTGCGTTTATTTGCAAACGTGCACTGATGTGATAGACTTTGTATACTCTGGCCGATGATTTTCATTCTCAAGTACACTAGTTGATATTGCCGACTTAATTCATGCATGTGATCGGTAAAAATAGAGAGTAAATGTCAAGAATGCTTGAGACTGTCTTAAATATCAGTAAAAAGTATGAGGAATGTAAAAATTAAAGTGAATGCTAGAGCAAATCTTATGTAGTTCCAAGTCGATCTTATACAATTGTTGTCTTATCAAAGTCCATACTGTCCCTGTTCATGGTTAGTTACCAATTTAGGATATGATCAAAAATGTTTTGAAAACAGCATAAAAAATCAGACAAATAAAAATCAGACAAATAAAAATTAGACAAATAAAAACTAATTTTAATAGGGCAATCACATATATGATATTGCATGATAATATAAGAATCGAGTTTAACTGATTCCCTAAAGAACGCCCAAAACGACAAAATTGAAAAGGTTGCAGGCTCGATTTGAGCCTGTTTATGGATGGTACTGGAAAGTCATATTTTCATTCAATTTTGGTTAAAAAATTTTTTTTGGCAAATATGCATCCTCAAATTTCAGCATTGACTGTTTTCTTATGGCATATTTTGCAAGTTAAAGATTAAATCTTATTCATTTCCTAGCAACCATTAGATCAGCAATTATGCACGAAATCTCTTAATGACAATTTTCTAGGAAACAAGACTTCATTAGAAATTCAAATCTCTGTAGAATTAATTGGCTTACTCTACTTGATTTTCCATCTACTATATTTTATCTGATAGCAGATTGTCTAGTTCACATCTGAAAATGTTAGAAACAAGCTATAGTCTTGGAAGTAACATGCAACAAGACAGATGGGCTTTCATTGGTTGCTAGGGACTCGTTGCATGCTGATGGTTGCTCAGGAAAGGAGGAAAGTCTGACTTTTACTACTTAGGCTCATTAGGACTAAAAAACTGATGTGTTAACATTATGTGACAATAGAAGATGCTTCATTAATTGGTTTTAGAGATACCATCAGACAGGCTTGATTAACTTCTTAGAACTTTCATTTATCTCCGATAATATATCTATTGACGTTAGAATTTTTTTCCCTATAAAAATTTACGCATTTGTTTTAGGTATACACGGTGAAAAATGTTCTTGGAATAAAGGACTTAAATTTAAGAAGATTTTATGGAAAAATAAATATTTTTGAGAGAGATATTCATATTTCAATTAAGAAATTTATGACTATAAAATTGATTTGTTTTCTCTGATAGTTTGACTCTAAAATCCTTTTAGAAAAAAAAGCACTCCAAAAAAAAACAAAAACAAAAAACTAGAGCTTTTACCTAATTGTGTAAGTGAGGAATAAAGATACTGTGTAACAATGCCAAGATCTAGGGGTAGTGTGGACTTGGGTTTTAACTATTTACCCATGATAAATAAGGATAGACCTATAACTGGATTAAGATTTAATCATTATGGCATACAATCAGGACTTAGTCAATCATGGGGTAAGTCTTGATGATAAAATGATTTTAAAACTGTTTCTACTTCTTTAATAAAATTAATAAGCAAGGACAGCCTATTCTTTTATCTGACCTTATTTTACTCTTATGTCCAGTCCTTACTAATTTGAGTTTGAAAGTCTTCGAAAACAAGGATTAGTCAATTACATGAAGTTAGTAAATAAAGGTTAAAATTTATAAAATGATGTTACATATGATTGCCCAAATATTCATAATTCTTAACACTTTGAATTAAAGAAATGTAAAAGCAAAAATAAATTTATAAAAATGTAGCCCGGGGTTCTATGATATCACGGTACTTAACATTTATCGGAAAATATTTAAATATAGATATTATAAATGAATGATATTTTTCTTCCATCTTATAATTGAACCTTTTCCAGAACTGTTTGTCAAAAAATTATTTCAAAAGAACCAATAAAAATGACATTTTTTAGAATATTTTCAATGTCTGCCATTTTGGGTAATTTCAGAGGAGGTTCCTACGGTATCAAGGTAATCCCCAAAAAAGCAAGTAAGAAAGGATAGATGGGTCAAACTTACAACTTAAGTTGTGAAAAACTTCAAACAGTTAACTTGCTATCAAATTAAAACTATAGACCAGACTATATGTCAGTATATGTGTTTATAACATATTTTAATTGACTGTGTAAAAACCATTAAGGAAAATGGTAGTCAAATATGAAGGTTTTATAAAATAGTTTTCTTGCCACAAATACATTCATTATTCACCAAATTAAATATTTTGGCAGATGAAAATGAATCTAGTGTGCAAGTTTTACAAATATTAGCATCATTGTGTGTTGCTTTTACTAGCAGTCACAGAAAATTTAAATACCTTGATATCATAGAACCCTTGATATCATAGGAACTGAGTATATCTTATTTTCTATTTATATACATGTAATTACATTTATGTTTGTTTTATGTTGCTGATGCTGTTCAATTAATTTTGTTAGCTTGAATTTGTTTACTCTAAGACTGATGATGTTTTAATCTTGAAATCTTAACTCTTTCCACATGCTTTATTTTTACATTTTCCATTTAAGTTGTGACATCTTTTCTTTCTTATGAATTTTAATATATGTCATTTGATATGTTGAGCATTATGAACGCTAAAAATTTATAATTCTTTTTACAAGAAGATTTTAGCTAACACCAAACATTTTGTTAATTTCAAATACAATAACAAATACATGTAATATTTGATTGTTTAAGGATTTGGGTTGAACTAATTTTTTACAGGTTTCATAAATGCTGCAGCATAATTCATTTTGGAAAAACCCTAGTATTTATCTTATGTCATACTGAATGAATCTCATAAAACTGGAATATATTCATCTTTTATGTAATGATAAAAAACTAAAAATAAGCATAATATTTTTTCTGGTATAAAGACAATTTTTTTACTTATATTTTATTAGATCCAACAAAGAGAGCATCAATACCACCTAGTCGTGCAGGCTCGCGCATGGCAGCCCCTATGGCCATGGCAACAGGGGTCAGTCTCCTTGATGATCTTGTACCATCAGCTCAGGCACCTAGATCAGCCCCTAGTCAAGCTAGCTACAGACCTAGCCCCTTACCAGGAGAGTAAGTACCTGTAATTAGTATAATGTCATAATGTAAAATCTGCATGCCTCCAAATGAGCCAAACAATTCTGGAAAATCAACTTTGAGAAAAATGCACTAAGATTTTATGAAAAGTAAAATTATTCACAAATCAAGTAATGATCTACATGTCATGAATGACTGATCCCTATATTTGGACTGTGTGACTAATGCAGTTAATTAGAGCTATTTTTGCATATTTTTACCATAATTTGGTAATTTACGTGGATTGAAAGTGATGTTTGAAATGTGAAATTTACTTTCTTTGCTCACTACATTTCACTTTTTAAAACCATTTTCAAATGTTCATGAAAATTAGCCTGAATCTGGAGGCATGCTGCTTTAAAGTGTAATGTAGTCCATAGTTTATCATTCTTTGATTGTATGTAAGGTCAATGAAATGTTTTTATAACAATTTGTATCTTTACAATTTTTCATCTCACATACTAATTTTGTGTTTATAGTTATGAGTAGACCCTAGATATTTGAGCCGCCTCACGACAAAACCAACATAATGGGTTTGCGACCAGCATGGATCCAGACCAGCCTGCCTATCCGCGCAGTCTGATCAAGATCGATGCTGTTTGCTATCAGTTTCTCTACTTGTTATAGGGTTTGTAAGCGAACAGCATGGATCCTGATTAGACTGCGCGGATGCACAGGCTGGTCTGAATCCATGCTGGTCGCAAACCCATTATGTTGGTTTTGACATGACCCGGCTCATTTGTTAAATGTGCTCTTTTCCAATTACTTTGTCCTTGTTGCTTTGGATTAGTAGTTCAATATATGGTCATAAAACTATTTCATCTGAGGGGGTTATTTAGTCACCTTACTAAAAGTATCTACATTATAAGGTTCTAACTTATGTCTTAGATAATGTATGGAAGAATATCTTGAGTGTTAAACCTGTAAAGCTGCAAAGTCCCATTGTAAACTTAAAAGTCTGTATTTTACTTTACAAAAATTAAGAAGAAAAAAGCGAAAAAAAAAAAAATAGCAAAATAGTGAATTCTTTAAATGATTGAGTTCTATTTTATAATTTGGTTATCTTTCTCTTAACAAAATGTGGCTGTCAAATGTAATCCCAGTTTATTATTGAATGGAAGCACATTCAAATTGTGACATGCAAAATCTTTTGCCACTGAATTTTTGTTACGTATGCAGTATCAAAAGGAAAAAAGGAAATGTTTCAATTATATGAATTTATCATATAAAAGATTACCTGGCTATTGATTAGATTTGCTTTCCTTGCATGCTGGGCTTCATAAATCATAGATAACTGGTATGATAAATCTATTGTAGCTGATTGCACAGTGTGAATTTTTATATAAATCAACTTAACAAAAAGCTCATTCGATCAAAACATTCTGCGCAAAAGTTTCATTGAATAAATCGAAGGTATAATTAAAGGTGTTGTAACTTAACTAAATTAAAAGATCAAGTTATAACAATTTTGCCTCCAACTTTGAAATATTTAAAAAAAAACTGTGCTCATAGACAGGGTTATTTGAGATCATACCACAAACAATTATGAATAATGTACATTGCTAGCATTGTAAAATATTGATCTTTAAATAAATAATTGACTGTCAGAAACCTATATAAAATAGAACTACAGACTGAAAGCTTTACTTACTTTACAGACATTGTTTAAGGGTCGCAAAGATATAATTTTTATATAAAAAGTTTTTTTTTCTGTTGGAGACTTAACCTTTATGCCCCCCACACAGGGAGTTGGAATAAAATTTTGTTTTATTCTAGCATCAATAATGCCTTTAATAGAACCAGGGTCCGAGGTTATAAAGAACTAATATAAGTTCAAACTCAGATCTCAGGGTATTTGATTATGGTCAGAAACTGCCACAAAATGTACACTGACCAATGAAAATCCTGCTATTTGAGACAGAACTCAGAAAGAAGTTTTATAATCACGAAGCCAGTATAGAGTCGGACCAGACTCTACAGGGATGATTATCCAAATATTTAAATCCTTCACACTACTTTTGGACTTTCAAAATTCAAAACATGGCAAAGTCACAATTCAAATTATGTTGTTTAAAGACTTAATAAAGTCTGAAGATCTTATAAAATTTATTTATATTATCAGGTATAAGCAGTTACCAAGTATTATAGGTTTAAAAAGACAAAACACCTTACAAATGACTGGCCATTGTTCTTGTTGTCCTTCCAGTACAGTAAGGTGACCATTGCACTTTGAGAGTTATATTTTACCATATGGTTGATGAACTTTTTGTTGAAAGTTGAATGCACTTAAAATATTCAAAAGATCTTTTTGAAGATGTTTCACTTTTCTTATATTTTCTTACACATAAATATTGTGCTATTCCAGTTTTGGTTAAGGGAAAATGTGGAAATTCAATTCTTAGAATTATAATATTGGTATATACTGTTTGTTGGAGGGATGGCTATGCAATGTTTCACCATGATGCATCAATGATTTGACAAAGTGCACAATCTTTTTTTTTTTGCAGTTTTTTTTTTAAATATTTGTTTTGCAAATTGTGTGAATACAATGACAAGGTGTGGTTTCATGGTGATTGGTGACTGCATTGCAATTTGTTAATTATTTATTGATATTTAATTTCAACTTACTGTTTCACCTAGTCATTTGTTAAACTGTGAGGGGGAAATAGCTGATGATAATGTAATTGAAATCTGATATTCTGGTTTCAGCAATATGACCTAAAATAATTAGCAATTAATCATTTTATGACAGAAAAAGTAGTAATTTACAGTATGGTTTCTGCAAGGTTAATATTAGATTGAATAAAAAATTCTTTAATTGTATCAGTAACTTTTACACATAACACTGTTAAGTGGACCCCACTTTTAATGTCAGTTTGCAGAAAGTGTCCTTCATAGTAGGTCGTTAGTCTGACACTGAAATAACCCTATAAACATAAAGTATATGATAACCCAATGTTTGTTTAATGTCAAAGTTTGATTTGTTGTAAATAATATTTCATGTTTCTATTCTTTCTATCAGCGTACTGGCCAAACCCCATCCGCCTGCACAACTAAATCCATTGCAAAGGTCACAAAGTTTTGATGCGATGAAGCCGGGAGACAAAGTCAACACTCCACCAGGTTCGGCATGTGGACATTCTAACGCAGGTCAAGAGTTGTGTTATCTCTGTCATCAGCGTGCCAGAAGAAACCTTCCCGTCTCGTTTGCGGAGGAGCGTAAGAAGCGCGAGGAGGAAGAAGACAGGCTTCTTCAACAGTATCAGTACATGAAGGATGCTGAGGATGTCCTACAAGATCAGGTTAGTTTGTTTATTTGCTAGTTTTTGTGTAGCCTCTAGAGTGTAGTTTTACTATTACATGGGTTTTCTGGTTACATGATTTTTGGCTGAGTTATAGCCCTTCAGAAAAGAACGCATTTTGTCCTGTTAATGATTTTTGTATCTCCTACTATGCAGTAAGCTGCATCATGCAATTGGCTATCTTGCGGTGACACATGTGATAACTGATCGCCCTTGTTAATGCCAGTTGGATATCTTAACATGTATAAAAATTTCATGAATTTGTCCCGAGTGTCAGGTTTTAAATACTTCTAAAAGATTTCCTGTTCTATAAAAAACTAGTGAAAATGCCGCATTTTCAGATTTTTGACATCTTAAAACTTTTACCCATTTATTTACTATTTCAGTATATTATAAGGCAGTTGACACAAAAAGTGTTTCTGGGTTATTTAGGATTCTAAACAGTGATCTTTTATTTTCTACACTTATGTATCATTTTATCAGTATAAATTACTTTTATGGTGATGGATGAAAAATTATACCAGTCCTCAGCTTAGATTTATATTGTAGAAATGAAAATATAGGAAACGCTAGGCAATAATATGAAGCAATTTAACTGAACTTATGTTTTTAGCTCACCTGTCACAAAGTGACAGGGTGAGCTTTTGTGATCGCTTTTTGTCCGGCATCCGTCCGGCGTCCGTCCACCGCCCGTCCGTCGTCCATCCGTTCGTAAACTTTTACTTTAAATGACATCTCCTCATAAACCACTAAGCCAATTTCATCCAAACTTCACAGAAATGTTCCTTTGGTGGTCACCTTTAAAAATTGTTCAAAGAATTAAATTCCATTCAGAACTCTGGTTGCCATGGCAACCGAAAGAAAAAACTTTAAATATCTTCTTTTAAAAAAATCGTTAGAGCTAGAGCTAAGATATTTGGCATGAAACATCTTCTAGTGAGTGTCTACCAAGTTTGTTCAAATAAAAGCTCTGGGGTCAAAACTGGCCCCGCCCCAGGGGGTCATTGATTTTCCCTATATGCATATAGTAAAAACTTAAAAAATCTTCTTTTAAGGTATGATCCACCTAATGCATTACCTCCACTTTGAAGAGTATTCTAATAGGCTAGAACTACTGTCAATTGCATTGTAACTGAGGGGCGTGGGTTCAAGCCCCAGAAGCGGCAACTTTTTTTTCTTTCTTTTTTTTTTCTTTGAACATTATTTGTGTCTCTCATATCACTCTTGAGAAGAAAAAATGTTTTATTTTTATTATGAAATTATTATTGGTATTTATTGGCTAAATTGTGCCAAATTTTTTATCAAATATGGTACCTGATATTTTCAAAGTCTAATAAAATAAAAACTAGATGGTAAAAGTATTTTATATTTGACAAGCGCAACCAATATACTTTTAAGAAAATTTATGCAAACTTTGAAAACAGCCCCTGATTTGAGTAAATTTAAGGGATATTTTGAATAAGGCCCTCCAAGTAGAAAAATGATCAAACAAGTACTTTAAATTGGTGGGGTAGGGTAACATTTATACACATATTTCAAACATTTTGAGTAAAAACAATAATTTTGCTGGGTCATTTGTTAGCTGAATGCTATTATTTGTTTCTCAAAAATGTTCTATAGGAAAACATGTTTTCATAATGATTATAAAATAGAATATTTAGAGTTTCTCATTTCTGAAAAAGAGCCCTTCTAATAGCCAAGTTTTACTTAAGTAAAATCTCCATAACTCGTAAACCATACGGTAAACTTTGTTTAAATTTTGCATTCTTGTGTCTTTTAAGGTATATAACTGACCTATGTTGTCAATTTTATAGTTCCTTATAGTGCCCATTAGGGGGCTCATACCTTAAAGAACCCAAAGAGCTAGAGCTAAGATATTTAGCATGAAACATCTTCTAATGAGTGTCTACCAAGTATGTTCAAATAAAAGCCCTGGGGTCAAAATTAGGCCCGACCCCGGGGTCATTGATTTTCCTTATATGTGTATAGCAAAAACTTAAAAATCTTCTTTGAAAAAACCCAAATAGCTAGAGTTTAGATATTAAGCATGAAACATCTTCTAGTAAGTGTCTACAAAGTTTGTTCAAATAAAAGCCCTGGGGTCAAAACTGTCCCTGTCCCAGGGGTGTCATTTATTAACTATATCATAATATGTGTATAGTAAAAACTTAAAAAATCTTCTTTTAAGAAACCCAATGAGCTAGAGCTTAGATGTTTTGCATGCAACATCTTCTTATGGGTGTCTACCAAGTTTGTTCAAATAAAAGCCCTTCGGTTAAAATTGGCCCTGCCAGGGGGTGGGGGAGAGGGGGCGCTATATACAGGTGAGCGACTTCAGGGCCATCATGGCCCTCTTGTTTATATAGCAGAAGTTATCATTATTTTACTGTATTTATTTTACATAACAGGAAATGACTATGGCTAAGCGTCACAATCTTCAGAAAATGGCTGCTTTCAATCTAGGTGTGTCAGAAGCTTTACATCAGAAGAAACGTACGAGAGACACTGAATTCCAGGTTGGTTCTTAAAAATGTTTTACACATGTATAACAACCATATTTTTATCATTATCATATTTATGTATATCATATTTAAAAACAAATTTTTACATTTCAATTTTTGCCATGCTTGGGGACGGCTTGTATTTCCATTTTACATCTGTGCAACCTGATTGAAGTGAATTGAATGTGGAAAATTTGTAAAATGCAAAAAAAATCAACTATTTTCTTTAAGGACTTATGTCCAACTTCCAAAAAATTGTGGTCATTTATGAGTGGCCACTGCCTATTTACATAAATACAAAAGGCATTAAAGTTATTAAGGTATATTTATGACATTCAATGTACCACAATTCAAAACTTTCGGCAGCCAAAAAATTATTGTCCAAATTGTTTAGATATTCAATTATTTTTGGTTTTCTTTTATGATTTAGCATACAACTGCTGAAATTATTTAAAATATTTTTGTGAAAAAAAAAAAAATACAGTTTGATATTTTAATATTTAATGGAAATCTTTAGAATCTGCAAAAAAATGTATAGATATGTGAGTATTTTGTTACCCTACACATTATGATTGAACAAATATAATTTAAACACTTGTAGCAAGGACCTGTTGTGAGTATACTAGTATTTAAGTAAACATTGAAGTAATTATATTATACAGAAGTTGTTTTGATTTTATTTTGCTTGAGGGAATTATTTTTGAATGAGTTAGGTGATATCATGGGAGCTTTTGACTGATTTTTCTTACTACTTTTGTAATGAATGAAATGATTTTGTTGCATGTTTCATACTTAGTATTCTAACTTTTCTTGCTAATAGATACTGTTTTTATAGAAACAAAAAGCTCAAATAACAAAAAGGAGCAAAAATTGTAAATTGAAGTAATAAAAACATAAATACATAAATACATACATAAATAGTCAAAGAACCACAAATATAATCAGACAACAGTTCATGGATAATTTCCATATATACGTATTTTATCTGTTCCATCGCACGTTCTCTATTTGTTTATATTGGAAATTGTATTGTAACTTATGCTTCAAAGCATGTTCAGCGGGCAAAACTTAGTCACATAATTATTTAATATTTCTCTTTTTACTATTTACATTCTTGTAAAGACCAAGCATATTTCAAAATGTGCCAAAACTTTGTATATTGAAACAGTTTTTGACAATTTCATACTTGATTTGAGTTTTCACTATGTAAAAGTATATTATGATAAAATTTGAAAGCATTAACAGATATGACCAACTGTTTATTACTTGATATTTATATTTAGGTTTATAACATAATTTAGGTGTTATTATGATAATTTGAACTTAATTCCAATATTGTTTGTTTAATTTTAGAAATCCTATATATTCCAAAGACGACCTCTAACACCACCCAGGATTATCAAACAAACAGAATATTCTGGAGATCTAGCTAAACAGGTAACAATTTTATATCTCTATATTTCTTTACTTGAAATTTCTGTTTGAAATTTTTTTTGGTAATATTTAATAGCGTTTTTGCATTTCTACGTCTTTGAAAAGGTAATTAGTACATGTAAAAATAGCTAGATAGCGAACAGGATAAACCTTCTCCATCCCGACATCAACCATGTATTTGATTTATCCTGCTTTTACTCATGTTTTTAGAATAATTAAATTGTTTTATTCTTACTTTTCCCCGATAAAATAGCATCTATATGTAGTTTTGTGTTGCTGCTAAACAGTTGACATCATCATATGACGTAATGACTGGAGATAGATAAGTTTATCCGGCAAGGCTTTATCCAGCTGATGATATTGACAGTAGCAGGATAAAACATAATCTCGTCTGTTTGTTTTCCACTGTCATATTTAAATACATGACTAGAGTCAGCTGGAATAGCATTCCCTTTGTCCTTTATCCAAGATAGTTATCAATTCTCCTAATTGAATGATCTTACCTTAATTTGTTTACATACTAATTGCTCTGAAAACCAGTGGTGAAAAAATCTTGAATTAAGATTACTTACTGAATGATTGCTGTATAGTTTATCATTAAAATCTGAGGGGAAAATTTTATCAGAGCTGGTCAACTCTGAAAACAGAATATTATTGAATTAGAGATGTTTTGTAGGAAAAATTTTGTGTGTACCTTCTACATTACAATATTTTAAAGGTATGATTCTGATTCACAAATTTGTACTATAGTTACAACTCTGAAGGAGAATGAAACCTGAGATAAACTGTTTGTTTGTTTGTTTGAAAACAGTGATACTGTTTCTCATATACAAATTCATTTAAATGCAAATGCTGTAGGTTACTTTTTGTAAACTAATCAGTTCTGGGAACAGAAATAAACTAAAAAAAAAAAAAAGCCAAAAAATCCACTGCATTCATGTAAATTATCTGAAACAAAACTCGAACAAGTGCAAGTGAATTAACCTTAATTTACATTTTAATCAAAATTTTCAAATTCATTTTCATTTCATCATGAATGTTTGCATACAAATAAATGAAGATGCTGATTTCACATGATGAAGTTTTGTTTTATTTTTATATTGGGTTGAAGGTTTGTTTTAACATTCTATAAGATTTGTTTTATTATGATATTAGGTTGATCATAAAGAATCTGTTAAGAAGAAGAGACAGTCAGATGAAGAGTTCCTTGAGAGATTGGAACAAGTTCAACTTGCTGAAGAGTAAGTCACTCATATATCTGTTGGTTATCTTTTTAGTCCCCTACCGGTTTAACCGGAGGGGACTTTAGGTTTACCCTCCGTCCGTCCGTCCGTCCATCTGTCCGTCAGTCCGTCCGTCCACAAAACTGGATCCCACGATAACGCAAAAAGTACTGAAAATATTTTTATGAAACTTGATATATGGATAGATGGCAGTATGCAGATTATGCACGTCTTTTTTTTTCTACCTATGTTGAAAATTCTGGTTGCTATGGCAACAAATAGTCTGAAAATATGGCAAATTTAACACATAAACTGGATCCAGTGATAACTTAAAAAGTACCGAAAATATTTTTATGAAACTTAAAATATGGGTAGATGGCAGTCTGGAGATTATGCACATCTTTTTCTGTTCTTCCTATGTTGAAAATTCTGGTTGCTATGGCAACAAATAGCCTGAATTTCAAGATTTCTGATTTAAATTTTTCAGCCTTTTCACTATAAGTTCTTTATTTCTTAAGGTGTTTACTTCAAACTTTAAATATAAGTTTCTGGTCATCAACCACATCATATGTGACAAGGTTTACAACTCTAGCACAAAAATTATCAGTATTACCTCCCTTGAACTTAGAATTTTTATGAAAAAAAAGTTGTCTTTTTTAAATAACTTCTTTATTTCCTAATGTATCTACTTCAAACTTCATATATATGTTTCTTATTATCACTTAACATTTTTGAGAAGGTTAAATACTCTAGCAAGACTATTTCCAGAATTATGTCCCCTTTGAACTTAGATTTTTTTCGAGAAATTGGTATTTTTCACTCCACCTTCTTCATTCCTTATAGGATTACTTTAAAATCCCACATTGTAATAATATGACAAGGTTGTATAAACATAATTTCCTTACTAGGAAGGGAAACTTAACACATTACTGTGATATAGACAAACTTAAAACTCAAAAGATATAAGTTCATTCATGTCATTCATTCACTGGTAAAATTGAATGGCCAATGGCCCATCAGAATATTGCTGAGGTTCTTACCGGTAGGGGACTTATGGATTGCTTGCAATACTATGATAATTGCTTGTTGTCATAATGACAAACAATGAAATGCTTAAACAAGTATATGTATATGCTATGTTTTTTTTTGTATTATATTTTTCACACATAATAATGAAGCTTAACATGAACATTATCCAAATAATTTTATATAGATAACTTACAAAAATTTTACTAGGATAAACTTAGAACAATAAGATATGGTGAATAGAATATTCCATATTGTTAAGTACATATATATGCTTTAAATGTTGATGACTATGAGCCTGGGATAAATGTTTCTCTGATTGTTTTTGGTCTAAACTTGGCTAGATTTAATCAAGACTTGTCTGAATATCATAGAGAGGAGAGTTATTTTTAGTATGTTGTCATTATCAATACACAATTACAGCCTGGCAATACAGAGGGAACAATACTTGAAGGAAAAAGCAGAGGAGCAGGATAGATATAAGAAAGCCCTTGAAACACAGGTAAGATACATTGATAAAGAGATAACATTGCAATGCAGGTGAAGCATATATTGCTTTTGTGGTGTTTCATTGTTTTAGGGGATTTTTTCTTTTCTGTTGTCATTATTTCCTGTTATTATGTCATCTCATCCTTTTTAAATAACTTTTTGGTTCTCAGTCGCTAAAATTTTAATTCTTTCATATCACTTTCTATCATTTCTGTTGAACTATTATTATTCTATGTCTTTGTATCAGTTCTTTGTCTTCATTTCATACTTTTGTCTTCATTTCTTTCTGTTGTCTTCATTTGTTTCTTTTGTCTTAATTTCTTTCTTTTGTCTTCGTTTCTTTCTTTTACTCTAATTTCTTTGTTTTTATTTTCATTTCTTTCTATTATTATTCTATGTCTTTGTATCAATTCTTTGTCTTCATTTCATACTTTTGTCTTCATTTCTTTCTGTTGTCTTCATTTATTTCTTTTGTCTTCATTTGTTTCTTTTGTCTTCATTTGTTTCTTTTACTCTTATTTCTTTCTTTTATTTTCATTTCTTTCTATTGTCTTCATTTCTTTCTTTTGTCTACATTTGTCTTCATTTCTTTCTTTTGTCTTCATTTGTTTCTTTTACTCTAATTTCTTTCCTTTATTTTCATTTCTTTCTTTTGTCTTCATTTCTTTCTTTTGTCTTCATTTCTTTCTTTTGTCTTCATTTGTCTGCATTTCTTACTTTTGTTTTCATTTCTTTTTTTTGTCTTCATTTCTTTCTTTTGTCTTCATTTGTTTCTTTTACTCTAATTTCTTTCCTTTATTTTCATTTCTTTCTATTGTCTTCATTTATTTCTTTTGTCTTCATTTCTTTCTTTTGTCTTCATTTGTCTTCATTTCTTACTTTTGTCTTCATTTCTTTATTTTATCTTCATTTCTTTATTTTATCTTCATTTCTTTCTTTTGTCTTCATTTCTTTCTATTGTCTTCATTTCTTTCTATTGTCTTCATTTCTTTCTTTTGTCTTCATTTGTCTTCATTTCTTACTTTTGTCTTCATTTCTTTATTTTATCTTCATTTCTTTCTTTTGTCTTCATTTCTTTCTATTGTCTTCATTTCTTTCTTTTGTCTTCATTTCTTTCTTTTGTCTTCATTTGTCTCATTTCTTACTTTTGTCTTCATTTCTTTATTTTATCTTCATTTCTTTCTTTTGTCTTCATTTTTTTCTTTTACTCTAATTACTTTCCTTTATTTTCATTTCTTTCTATTGTCTTCATTTCTTTCCTTTTCTGTTTCTGTCTTGCCATGTTTGTATCAGATTGCTATCAGAGATCAGCTAACAATGAATCATGACCTGGACAATAAGCTACGGCGCAAACCTTGCGGCCGAATGTCACAATTGCGCCTGCCATTTATTCCACAGGCCAACACTCTGCGTCCCTTCACAAGCACCCCACCATCTAGGATGAATGAAAATTGGAGGTCATCTTATGGCAGGGTAATTTAGATATTTCAATGCAGTTAACCATTACAAAACTTCAAAACATTCAAAATGTAGGACTTGTTGTTATTTTTGAAGAGGCATGTTAAAATTAAATAATGTTTCTATTGAAGTTTTAGTTGAAGACATTACAAAATGTAAAGTTTTATATATATATTAAATAATGAATATTTACATATCAAATAAAACTAGAAATGTGTCCATAGGACACAAGTGCCCCCACACTCCACTGTTCTGTCAATCTTATGACTTAAGGTCAAATATGTTTTAGGCTACATGTGCCACAAGTTAAAAACTAAAAGTCAAGGGCAAGAACTTTACAAATACTTAATAAATCCACAAGCAAACCCCAAGGTGCATAAGTACATGGCTGACCAACATTCTTGTAAACTTTCAGACCTATAGGTCAAATATTTTTTGAGTTATGCATGAACAAGTTGGAAATTGCAAATTTATACTAAGTCAAGGGTAACTCTAACAAAACTGGTAAAAATCCCCATGCAAAATCCCAGGTGCAAAGCTTCACAGTGATGTTGATCATTATTCCTGTAAAGTTGGTTGATTCTAACTCAAGCACTCAAGGAACAAATAACACAACATAATGGAAGGGTTTTCACTAAGTCAAGGGCAATAAATCTGACAAAACAGAAAAAATCCACAAGCGAAACCCCAGGTGCACAACTTCACATGCTGAGCAACATTCCTGTAAGTTTCATGACTCTAGGTCAAATACTTTTTGAGCTACATGTGACACAAGTTGAAAATTGCAAATATTTACTAAGTCAAGGGCAATAACTCTGACAAAACAGAATAAATCCACAAGCGAAACCCCAGGTGCACAAATACACATGCTAAGCAATATTCCTGTAAGGTTTCATGACTCTAGGTCAAATACTTTTTGAGATATGTGTGACACAAGTTGAAAATAGTAAATTTTTAAAAAGTCAAGGGCAATAACTCTAAAAATACTAAACATATCCTAATGAAAATACCCAGGTGGACAACTACACATGCTGATCAACATTCCTGTAAAGTTTCATGACTCTAGGTCAAATACTTTTTGAGCTACATGTGACACAAGTTGAAAATTGCAAATATTTACTAAGTCAAGGGCAATAACTCTAACAAAACAGAATAAATCCACAAGCGAAACCCCAGGTGCACAACTACACATGCTGAGCAACATTCCTGTAAGGTTTCATGACTCTAGGTCAAATACTTTTTGAGATATGTGCGACACAAGTTGAAAATTGCAAATTTTTACTAAGTCAAGGGCAATAACTCTAAAAATACTAAATATATCCACACAAAAATACCCAGGTGCACAACTACACATGCTGATCAACATTCCTGTAATGTTTCATGACACTAGGTCAAATACTTTTTGAGTTACGTGCGACACAAGTTTAAAATTGTAAATTTTTACAAATTCAAGGGCAATAACTCTAAAAATATTAAATATATCCACACGAAAATACCCAGGTGCACTACTACACATGCTGATCAACATTCCTGTAAAGTTTCATGACTCCAGGTCAAATACTTTTTGAGCTATGTGCGACACAATGACGGAAGGAAGGACGGATTGACAAGGGTAAATCTAAATGCCCCCCCCCCCCCCCCCCCCCCAAAATTAGGGCACAAAAACTGACAATTATAAAGTTTTACTTTATAATGATTATAATTGAAATTACATTATGATTGAATTAAACAGTTTGCTTTAATTCATTTGTTAAATCTAATGAGATGATTGTCAGATGCAGATTTAGATTATTGTTATACGGACACAAAGTCAAATATATTACAAAATCATATGTAAAGTAAACAATCAAGCTATCTCTAAAGGTTAAATCATAATTTAATTGACAAGAAACACATTGTTTATCGTGTCGCCTCTACGGGTAGGGATCACTTCTCCGTCGGCCGTCTGTCAGTACAAACCAGAGCTACATTATGGGGTTTAGTCTTTGATGTCATTCATTCCGTTTCTCTTGTGGGGTTATTTTCTGCATTGTGGGGTTAAAAAGAACAAAAGAAATAACAAAAGAAAACCCCATAATGTAGCTCTGGTAAGAACGTCCGTCCGTCAAAACACTTGTCTGGACTACTCCTCATAAACTACTGGTGCAATTTCATCCAAACTTTACAGGAATGATCAATACCAAGTCTAGTTGTGCATATTGTCAGCATTTTCCGGTTCAATGATTTTTGTCAGAGTTATGGCCCTTTAATAATTTTTATTTTTAAAGTTTGTCCGGACTACTTCTCTTATACCACTAATGCAATTTCAATGAAACTTTACAGGATTTATCTGTAGCTCAAGTCCTTGCGCATATTGCACGGGTTTTCCGGTTGAATGATTTTTGGCCGAGTTATGGCCCTTTGATAAAAAGGTGTTTTTTTCTGTGTGTTGCCAGATACACAAAAGCTTGTCCGGACTACTCCTCATAAACTACTGGTGCAATTTCATCCAAACTTTACAGGAATGATCATTACCAAGTCTAGTTGTGCATATTGTCAGCATTTTCCGGTTCAATGATTTTTGTCAGAGTTATGGCCCTTTAATAATTTTTATTTTTAAAGTTTGTCCGGACTACTTCTTTTATACCACTCATGCAATTTCAATGAAACTTTACAGGATTGATCTGTAGCTCAAGTCCTTGCGCATATTGCAAGGGTTTTCCGGTTGAATGATTTTTGGCCGAGTTATGGCCCTTTGATAAAAAGGTGTTTTTTTCTGTGTGTTGCCAGATACACAAAAGCTTGTCCGGACTACTCCTCATGAACTACTGGTGCAATTTTATCTAAACTTTACAGTAATGATCAGTACCAAGTCTAGTTGTGCACTGTCCGTCTGTCACAAAACTTGTCCCAACATGAAATTGGCCATCATGAGGCGACACATGTGATCACTGATCGCTCTTGTTTATGAATTGATCATGCTTAATTTAAAGTATATTAATAGTTATTTAATAAAAGTGAACATTTTCAATAATCTAATAAGAAATTAATTGCCCAAGATTTTTTTTACACAAGCTTGTCTGAGAGGCATTTTCAGTGCATTGTTTCCAAAGTTTGCTAAAGATCCTGAAACACATTTTTTTCATGGTTTTACATAACAAATATGATGCTCAAATTAAGTTCCAAAAAGCATTATTTATAAAGATATTACCTAATTTAATATTTCATGCAAATAAAGGGAGGTAATTAGAAATTTGTTTTCTATAAATTCTAAGTCAAATTTTCCAATAAGAAATGAATGCATATAATTTAATGATTACATTTAATATGTACAAATATTTGTATTACATATTTTACATATCATTTGGTGTTATTGTTGTATAAGCATAATTATATACATATATAATGTCACGTACGATTGGTATACAACCTCAATTACAAAACATACAGGATCTTTAAACCAAGTAATTAAACATAAACTTGTAAATCTTACATGACAGTTTTGATCAGCCAGATATCGCAGCACAATTAAGTTCTTCTTAAGGATTTAATTCATTAATCTTTTCTTTTTCATGTATTTAATTGATTTTTCATTGGTATATTTTTCTGTTTGCATATCTCAATCCATCCATCGCTTGTTTGTTTAAGTCTTTCAAAAGCTTTTAAAGTGGTACATTTCAAACATGAATGCACTGTTTATATGAACATGTCTTTTTTGAATGTATGACATTAAGTTGTTTGATAATACGTTATGCAAACCATCAATACTTGCATTGATTATCAATTATACAAACTGGTAATTGAAAAATCTTTTTTTTTTTTTCTTTGGTTCTGAATACCGCAGTAACCAGGGTTGTTCATGTATTTGGATAAATTTGATAAAAAAAATTGCGGAATAAAATTCCCTGTGTAAGATATGCAAGATTTTTTTGTCCTTTACATGTCTAGATAAATATTTTATTTCATTTCTGAAGTTTTTATCTTAATAATTTTCTAAAAATTTAACAAAGGTTGAAACTATTTAACTGATCTTATGAATCTTAATTTACTGAAATAAAACATAGAAAAAAAAACATATATATTTGATAAACACTGAAATGTGTCAATTTATTTGAGAATTTCGAAAATGCCTTCAATAATTGTGTCTTGTTAAACTTAATTCAAAACATGAATTAACTAAATAGATGTAAATTGCATTGTGTTTTTCTTATATCCTTCTTTAATTAAAAAAATTAAGCCAATCTTTTTAGTTCCTTTTTTTTCTGGCTTAGTAGTATATACATTTATTAAGTTGATGGTTGTAAGTTTTACATTTGTACATTTCTCATAAAAATAATTGCTTTTTCATTAAAATTTGTATTTGATTATATTTTGATACAAATTGAATTTAGTAATGTTTACCATTGTTTTATAAAAAGTAATGTTTCTATTACAGTTGCGATTTAAACCACTACAAGTTCCAGCTCGTGAATCAGACAAAGAAGTTTTTGGTATGAACGATATGACAAATGAGAAAATGGCTGAACGTAGACGACGAGCTTACGACCTTTTCCAGGAACAACAAGATATTGTTGCTCAGAAAAAACGTGAAAATATTCTTAAACGATTGGCTGAACAACAAGAGGAAGAGCAAGTTCTAGAGAGAACAAGGAATGAGTAAGTAAAGTATAAAATATACTACCCTATCTTTCTGTGTTTCCTTTTCTGAAGAGTATTTAATGTGTTACTATGAAAAAATAAATGTGAACAAAATTTGCTTAATCATATGAAATGAGGAATTTTAGAAATTGAATGGAGAGAGTTTTAAAAAAGTTTGTAGCTTTCTACTCAATCCTTTTTTGTTTTTGATTGTAATAACATGGATATTGGGTAAAATATTGTTTAATTAAATTGAACATAATGTCCTTCTCTATTTTCAACATTTTCACAAAAATGATACATTGCATAAATTACAACTTGTTACATAATAAGTTAAAATGTCTGTCTACAGGTTGCTGGATGATCGTGCCAATAAGTTTAACAGGCGTATTAATGCACGTAAAAGGTTAGAGCAAGATTGGGTTCGAGCCTCGATGACGAAGAAGGAAAGGCTCGAGGAGGACCACTTGCGAGCATTGAGTCCGGGCATTCTTCTCCATGAACAGTGTGATAAATACAACAGATGTGGACAATGTAAACGTACATTAAGAAATTGCGGGGAAACCAATCTATGGAGCGAGTCTCGCTATATTCCAGGTTCAAGACTGATGGTGTAACCAGCTATATTGACATAACTTTTTACACTTTAAATCCTCAAAAATTACCTATAAATTAACATTTTGAATTCTTTTTACTTGATTCATTAGAACTATTATAATAATAATTTTGTTTCTAAAGTTTTATAGCTTGATATATATACATATATTATGATTAACATTAAACTTTGTTAATTAAAACTTGCACAAAAAGTCATAATTGCATCAAGTGCTTGTGTATAGCTTCCTTGATACCATTGTTTACTTCTTTGCTAGATTAGAAAGTATTTTCTGTGATCATTAGTGCCAGCGTGTCTGTGATTATTATTTTTTTTTTACAAATGTTTTCCCCATTGAAGTTGTCTTTCAGTATAGGTTTAAATTTTGTGGCCTGTGAGATCAATCTTGCATTTATGCTATATATGTTAATGAACAATTACAGATCATTCAAGAAACATTATTTAATGTAAAGTTGCTTTGTGAATTTTTCGTTTACATATCATTGTGTTATGGTTATCTATGCTTAAGCTTAGTTTTCACCAAAAAATTAAACACATATATTGTATTAATATTTCTATACATGCTCCCTTAGCCAAGTAATTGTTATTGTTTAGTACTCTTATACTTTCAAAGTGAAAAAAGGATGTGCTTTACAGAAAATTTTTGCTTATTTTTATAAAATAAAATGTTAAGAATTTCAGACATTTAAGTGCACTACAAAAACAATTGTCTAAAATGTATGACTTACTTGGTTTTAACCAAGTGTCAGAATCTAACCATTCATGAATTAATTTAATAAATTGACAGATATATAAATTTTGGAAAGATCTGGAAAAAAAACTTTGATCAGAAGATGTAAAATTTGACTAAGGATGGGGTTATTTACTAAACAAAAAGTTGTCTTGACTTATCCTATACAATGTAAAACAGTGTGTAAGTCATACTAATAATGAGGAAGAAGCCAATGGGGTAAAATTTTTAATTATGATAAAAATGTCCTTTTCATATAAGCTAGATACTCTATATTTGGATTATCTATAGACTACTGATAGATTTCACCTGATCGGAGTAGATTTCCATTTGACATTTTCCCTTATTGTTAGTTTATAATTTGTGTATTAACCCATTCAGTATTTTATGTTGTCTGTGATATTAGGGGGACTATTAAACTAGGAGAGCCCTAACTGTAACAGTGTCTTAATTGTTGTTGTACTACGTCTGAGTAGGAAAATAAATTTTCACATTCAAAACATTTTCAAATCTTTTTCGATGGTTTGAGTGTAAAATTTGTTTGGAACTGCCTTGATTACAAGGTGTGTAACAGTTTAAAGTTTGTCCTAAATTTTGTTTTAGAGAATGAGAGTACCATATTTGTGTATGCTATGAATTATCAAATGCAGTAGCATTATTTCACAGTAGTATTTTAATTTAAGTTTTGTTTTCACAGTACTGCTGTATTATATGCCCTGTAATTTCAATATGGCATATCTAAAACATGTGAAAGCTCCAATTTATTTCTAGAACTGCCATTCTGTTAAAAAAGACTGTGATTTAGATATGTGTTTGTGTGTTTGTCAAATTGTTATAAATGATTGTAGAATTGTGACTACATGGTTACCATGTTGATAATTTTGCCCACTTGTTTATTTGCTATACTTTACCAACATTTTGGATGCACTTTTTATTGTTTTGTTACTTACTTTTAAACTTTGTATGTAAAAGTAGAAAAAAACTTTATATTTGCTGTGTTCTCTGTTCTATTTAATACTGAAGAATTTTACATGTGAATTGATTGCCAATTTTCATAAAAGTATTGTTAAATTATTATTATAACTTGATTGTCAATGTTCTCAAATTCATCAATTTTTTTCTTCTAATTTTAACCATATTTTTAGGCATATCAGATAGCTTTGAATTCTTCTTTAGAAGATAATATAAGCATATCTGTAAAGGAAGAGTTGTGAAGTCTGATTCAAAGACATATACAAGATAGAACTTGGGAACATTATTCCCTCTAAAATGAGGTAGACTATTGAAATCAAAGATGTGTCGGATAAAACATATTCGTACTTAAAGCTTGAAAAAGTTCACCAGGATGTTTTTTACTCAGTGAGAATAAGTTAAGTAGATTTCAGCAGTTGTGTAATTATGGTTCAATATTTCAGTGTTGATTGAGATGGTAAATTGTTGATGTTTAACTTTCATGTACAGAAAAAAATGAATAAATACAAAATATCACTATTTTTGTTGTGCATTTTTTTTGTATACCACAAAGATATTACAATGTTAATGGCCACGTTAGCTTAGTCAGATATATATATTGCTGGGCTTTTCATCTTTACCTATATATACAGTGAGGGGAGCAGTGGCCTCGTGGTTGTCTGCCTCTCAACCCAGGAATCATGAGTTTGAGCCCTACTCGTGTCACAATCATGTTTCTTCATATGACACCAGTATTTATTACACCAGTACTAGTTAGTACCAGGAAGGGGACTCAAAAGTGATTCATGTAAGTTGTAAGAACACATACTGGAAAATTGTTATATGGTCAATATACATAGATATTTGTTTGCAATGGCCTTGAAAAGGTGAACAGATCTCTGGATTTTCATTGCTCAATGCATTTTCTGTGCCAATTTCTGACCAATTACATACTGGTACTTAAATTGTGAGTTTGAATTTGAAAAAATTATTTTTAACCTCCCATTCACCTCCTTGTGCACGAGGTTAGCTAAAATTATCTTCCCCTATTTTGGCCTTAAAACCAAGCAAAATATTGTATAGAACAAAAGTTAGGGTCATTTTAGTTATCTTATTTTTAGTTTTCTTTTCCATACTCAACAGTGCTACAAATAAATACAATGTAAACCTAACATCATCTAAAACTAGGACTAGGCTGCCTAGTTTTATTCCAATAGATTATAATAGGTTAATTAGCAGATTTCTAACCTCCCATGTGCCGAATCATGAATAAAATGAAAGATTGAAAATATCAAAGCAGAACAGATAGAAGACTAGGACACAGACGCCCCATGCAATATGATGTTTATATCTCCAAGTACCATTCGTAAGTAACACCCAGTTATAAAGCAAACAAGGTTTGACCTTTGACCTCACATGATCTTGAAGAGGGGATGACATACTACAAATATTTTGACAATCCAGCAAAGTATTGCCAAAATTTTAATCCGGACAGGATTTGAACTTCAATTACAACATCCACTATGAACACTCTTGCACACAACACATTGCCTACTTATGGTAATCATGTGCACCAATTTCTTTTGAAATCCTAGACATGACACAATTTTATGGCAAGGAAATAATGAGAAAGTAAAACTGATAAAAATATTGATCCAGTGACCCCTAATGCTTATGTCCCAAGAACACTGTATTTACTCTTTGGAAGTTATACATGTAGTTAAATTTTCAGCTTTGTCTGCATAGCCAAGGAATTTTATGAGCAGATCATACAAGATAGTTGATCTTTTAGCCTTTGTCATCAGTATAGAGCCAGGCCAACCTATACATCTATGCAGTCCAACAAAGCTCTATGGTAGGTAGCTAAAAACGAATTTTATTTTTCTTTTGAAATCCTTTAAAATTGGAATGGGACTGTTCCAGATGCCATATTGGGCAAATCCATTACACAAAATTATTAAGCAGATTCAAAGACTTAATCTGGAAAACTTTTAAAACCAGTAGTATCAGATGTATTTAAGTGAATACATTTCAGTAATGGTCTGTCATTATACTCTAAAACAATTAACCCGAACAAGTTGGCTCCAATGAGCATAATAAAAACAAACAAAATCTATAATTTTTCATTTTTAATTCACACAAGAATTTTGACAAGTGTTATCTTGGTGAATGCATGTTTTAGTTTGTATTTTTTTTGTATGTGCTTTTCTTTTTTTTTTATATTTGTTTGCATGTTATGTAATTGTAACATTTGATTAACATATTGAGGCATTGTTTGTTTGTTTGTTTGTATGTATGTATGTATTTCTTTGTTTTGTGTAAGAGTTGGACATGTAAGTTTAAAATGGTGACGATTTTTTATATAGGCCACAATATAAGTAATTGCTCGAGTTCAATACAATTTAATTTTACTCTGTCTCAAAAACCAATGCTAATAATATAATCCAATTCTTTGTCACATTATGTCATTGATATAACTTGGTCTGATTGTCTAGCGGTGGACCAAATATTTAATATACGATTTTTAAAGTAAATTTTTTATGTCCATCTTGACCAGTGTGATAGAATATCAAATTTCATCAATTTCATAACAGTTATATAAATCGCTATCATGATATATTCATGTTCATGATTTGAAAAAAAAGTATATTTTTCATGCAAGTCATTGTTACAAATATGAAACATTTCTTACTTTTTCTGCAAAAATAAAAAAAAAATCAACATCTGGAATTTTTCTTTGAGGAAATGTACATAATGTACATATTTAACAAGTGTTTCAATCACTACTAGTAACCATAGAGACTGAAAAATAACAAAAAAATACAGGAAAACAACTTGACTAGCATGTCAGTATTATATATCAATTTTGGCAGTAAAAGTTCCTGAAGATCTGCGTCACCTATACCCCTTTACATCTTAATTCTAACTTGCATTCTTCAGAAAGTATGAACCAGTCACTAGATATGTATACAGACCAAAGTCAACTTATTTGTTTTTTATTCCTCTGAAAATATTTTGCAACAGCGAAAGATATTCACGCTTAATGATAGCAAATATGGATCTGGCTTTCAGCAAAATCTTCCTTCTGAAATTTTCCCACCATCTCCCCACCTAAAATGGCATCCATTGGTTTGCAATATATTCTTATAAATAGCGAACCTTCTTCACTATAAATATGTATTTTCTTTCATTGTACACAAATGTTTTGCACAACTTACTTCTATATAATATACATGTTTGATTTGACATGTGTTGGTTTATTTTGGTGTGATATGTTCAGTGTGTTGTTGTTGTTGTGTGTATGTTTTTACTGTTTATTTACATGAACTTAATATATATACAAAAAAGAAATTAGGTCATCCTATTTAAAGAAAAATGTTCTTACAATTATAATGCCATAGTCTAGTCATTATGCGAAAAATACTTTTAACATACAAAATAATACGATGTTGGCCCATTCTTGAATAATAACAAAACATCAACCAGAAACATTGAAAAATATTCTGATCAAGGAAATTTTTTTTACCCTGCCTTTAGACGTCTAAACACATTTCTATAAAACATGCATGTTTCAAAATTGATTCTTGTTCATATATTCCATAGCATTTTTCTATCTTATAAAACTTAACATAGTCCCAATATGGGTTTAATGGCACTAAATAAACAATATTAGGATAAACTCCATTAAGTATCTCATAATAAATGTAAAAAGATATATATCAAAACATATAAAAGTGTACAGTTGAACCAAATGTTAAAACTCTGAATACTGTCACCCATACCCCACCCCCCATTTTTTGGATAAAAATAGGATGACCTTCTAAATAAGGAAAACAACAAATAATGATAAAAAATATTTTTTTTTTGACACATAACAATGTTCCGGAAGAGACGCATTTAAAAAATTTCCGGCAACAGTAACTGAGAAAGTTAAACAAGATAATCAATGTATTAATTACAACACTGGAAACAAAATTTTACTTCATTATTAATCTTTTAATACGAATTTTAAACTTTCCTTTAAATCTAAAATAAGAAATCTTTTTCAACAAACGAAAAAATTTCCAGTAATATGAAACCATAATTTGACAGATACATAGCAGTCTATACAAAGTAAGTACAAATAAAAATCTGTACACCAAAAACCTTAGAAAAAAATAAAAGAAAAACAAAGAAAGACAATAGTAGAAAAGTAAACTGAAATAAAAATTCAGCCAATAATATCTGCAGTAAACTAACTAGATATATATTTCTAGTGTTAATCTGCATGTTAACTTATTATAATGTTAGGGAATAATAATACAATAAACAAGTTTTCAATACAACAGTCAACAATTCACCAACAATCCAATAATATAAATCAATATAACAAAACAAGATAAGCTTCTGAATGGTTCTGTTAAAGCTTAGTATGATTTGCTAACATTTCCGTTAATTAATATAATTAATATAAATGATTCATAAATTTGTCAGAAATGAAACAACAAAAAGAGAAAACTTCGGGGTTGCAACTTCTATTTTATGGAATGTTTCTGTCCAGTTGCCTTGGTTACCTGGAACTGGTAAAAGAAGCTTGAATTTTCTTCCAACAAATTGAAGTTATCACTTATCACAAAAAAATCGCAAGTCCTTCTTGGAAGGGATAATGTCCGAATGTTCATAAAATGTCCATAAATGTCTGCATGTCGAAAATGTCCATGGAATCGAGGTTTCCTGCATTATACTCTTGCCCTTTCCACCGACAAAAAATAACTTTTTGTCTGTATAACTTTAAGCACCATTGCCTTTTTAAAACACAAGTATCACATCACAACAATCTCGTAAAATGCTGGAAGGGTATTTGAAGGGAAAGTAAATCGGGGGGTCATTTTGAGCGTCAATGGACATTGGTTGAGCGTCTATGGACAGTTTGTCTATGCATGGCATGAACACAGTACTCACTAGAAATCCTTGGTTTTATTATTTAAGTCACAATTACACTTTTATCACATTGTCTGCTTGACTTCAACAAGCAATTGTCCCTCAAGTGAATACAATTTATAATTTAGTACTTTCATGAATTCACTTTTTAAAATAAACAAATATACAAAGATTCACTTTTATTTTATCACACTGAGATCACTTCATATTATTCATTCCTCATTTACTTTTATAAATGAGATTCCAACAGGTTAATTTTTAATTTGTAATTTGTGCATAGCAGTCAATGTTCTATGTCCTCGGGGACTAGTTCAGTTTTTTTGAGGAAATATCTTGTATTCAACACTTCTCCTTTAAACAATGCCTGGATAATCTGTTTATCACATATTTATCACACATCTCAACAATTAAGTTCCATTTCCATACTATTTTCCAGGCAAAGTGAACATTCCTGTAACTTTCATTTATTCCTCAAATGTTCAGTCTATCGTCTCTGGCCGATTCCACATTGTCGAACATGGAATTTAATCGTCAGTTAAGTATTCTCCACCGCTGTCTTAGGAAGATTATCTGATCTAAAGATCACAATAACTTCCGGGAAATTCTCTGGACTTGAATGGTTACCATCTTACCATTATGTCAATATAGCTTAGAAGTTCATCACATCTTCATCACTATGGGGGGACGTCAATTATCATGATGTTTATCACTATTGCCCATCAAGTCCTGGGAATTGTTGTTGTTGGATCCTAATTGTCGCTGTCTCGTCAATGGGGGGGAAGGACCTTGCCAATGTAGATTCCTCACAATGAAACCTATCACGATTATAGTGATGCTATTTTTTTGACTGATGAAAGAGCTACTCTGAATATTTCAAACTCCCGAGCTAAAACTGGAAACCTCCCATTGGAGCATTATCTGCTGCTTGGAACTGGTATTGCTCGGAGTTCTGGTCAACTTCTGGTGCAATACCCCGGTCCTCTTCCTCTGTACCGAAGTATCGCTCAATCATGTCAAAAGATTTCTGGTAGATCTCTCTATTTTCATGACTTTGTAGAAACTCTATCTTGTCTAAACCTAATTTAATGACAAGATACAGGTCATATAATAAACATATTAACATAATACATAAACATACACACTCAGTAACAAAACTGTTTTAGAATCTAATCCTAAATCACAAGTTCATGTTGATGAGCTTTTCTTTTATCAAATTTTATGTTAAACAATTCAAACTGGACCAGTTTGTGAAAATGAATGCTATACAATAATGCCCAATAATACTAAACATCAATGTATAATCACATCATATTGAGGGTGATCATACAGGATGTTCACTCAAAGTATGTGTTATCAACCAAGCACTTATGGAATATCATATATATTTCATGATAACAAACAAATCATATTTCAAGACGGAACTCACAAACGTAACTAGTATACTTTAACATTTTCACAACATAACAGTGATATCAATTAACAGTTATTAGTAAAGGCCTTGATAAGGAAGGCAAGCAAGACAAGAACATAATAACTAAAACCCTCCACCCTGTCTGGTGCCAGGGCACACTTTGTGGCCAACAGGTTAACTTGGAAGTAAATTATTGGTTTACCATAGCACTCCTCAATCATAACAGAGTAAGGATTAGCTCCGTTGTTTGATTTGGCATCCTGGTCTCCTAGTCTCAGTATGTTCTCCAGACCATTCAGGGCCACCTGAACTATCTTACTGTCCATAACTGTCAACAAATCACATAGAGGCTGGATACATCCTTGATCAACCAAAAACCTGTAAACACATATATGTATTGTGTATTAATATTTCGGTCCAGTTGTAACACAAACATGATTATTACATTTGTTTAAGGGTATAGGTTCGTAAGTTAAACATGCTGCACTAGTATGATGAACTTTTCATGAATGAAAAACTTGCTTTTCTCTAGCATTTCAACAGTTGGCATTTATACATTAAAATCATAAATTGTTCAGATTATGTAAGAAATTCTTACTGTTTGAATAAAAAATTTTCTTTAGGTAAAAAAGCAGCAAAATTTTAGAACACACTTGAATAAATCTTTCTGTATACAATACACACTGATAAATCTAGCATCAGCTTAACATTGTGAGTTCAGGAGTACAAACCACTGAAAGTATCAAAGATTTCCCATTTCTTGAAATCACTTTAATATATCGTCCTTGCAAGATCCAACAATTTACATTGCTGGGTTCCAAGGGGACGAAGAAAATATTAAAGATTTTCTACTTTCTTAAAATAATATCACTTTATCATGCATGCAAGTTCCAACTGAAATATCAATACTGCTTGTCAACTGGGATAAATAGTTAAGTTAACCATGTCATGTTCTTGCCTATTCTAGAGTTTAACTGATTTCTTTGAAAACATGAAAAAATTAATCTATTTAATATATAAAAGGTCTTTCATCAATTGTGACAATATCATTTATAAATGAAAATGTGCAACCATAGGATACAGACCAATGCAAGTATCACTGATTTCAAATTCTCCTAATATCATATTACATTATTATCCTTTCAAGATCCAACAACAATCATTGTTGGGTTCCAAGGGGACGATTTCAAAAATAAAGACACAAGTTTCTATTTTTTTCCAATACATACTAATTAAAACTCAAATCTACAAATTTTTTGTTAAAGTTACTTATACTCAAGATGTTATAAAATATCAACAAAAATCTAGCTATTTTTCTCATTCATTTGTATCCAATAGAAGAACATGTAATGAACATTTACCTGATTTGTTCAGGTGAACCACCAGATGTTGCATTTGTGATTGCCCAAGCAGCTTCTTTACGGGTTTTGAAATCTGCTCGACCTAGGATATCTATCAACACGGGGAAAATGTTTGCGTCTATAACCGCCTGAAATAAAGTTACATGACCATCAGCTTCTGTTTGACAAAATTATGACTTAGTTTCTAAACATGCAAGCTTGTCAAAGTTAACTAAGCCATTACTTCTTTGATAACGGTTTTATTTCATCTGTATCAGAGTAATTATTTGTAACATTTAATCCAACAAAAGCAATTTTAACAAAGAAATAGTTGCTTTTCTTCAAAGACCTGTCCGCAAAAACAGTTTTAACATCATTTTGTAAAGTTTACATCTTGAATCAAGATCCAATTTCATTTTAAGCACTCATTTAGTTGGCTGTTTTTCAAAGAATAAAATAAAGATATTACCTGAATTTGCATCCTGTTTCCAGCAGTGATATTGGATATTGTCCAGCAAGATTCCTTTCTAATAGATTCTTTTGAACTACTCAGTAAATGCAGTAAACAAGGTAAAGCTGAACAACTTAAAATTACCTAGAAAATAAATTAACAAATACACAATATGCTTTTCAATATTGCTGCACAATTTAACTTCCACAGATTGTCAATATTAAGTTTCAATCTAGCCAAATAATTTTTTTTTTATTATTTATTTTGCAACTTTATGTAAGATCTTAGTTCACTTCATGTTTCATGGTACTTGGCAATCCATTATTTCTATTCTATAATAAAGTTTGTAAACAACTGCATTTTTAAAGAGGAAAATGATGTCTACATATAAATAAAGCAAGATAATATACAAATGCTTCCTATATAAATAAGTTAATTAAATGAACTCTTATAGTTTCTTTTTTTATACTTTAGTGCATTAAATGAACTCTCAGTTCCTGTTCTTATATTTTAGTGCATTGGTTTATAAGAAAATATGAATCCTTCATCACAAGGGCGAACTATTAACAGCGTTCCTAGATTTCGTTACCAGTACTAACCTATCCCTAGTCATGAAATTGAGAAGGCTAACAAGTGTGAGTGACATAAAGAACATAAGGCATTACATAACTACTTCTTTATCCAGAATAACAAACCTTCAAACATAATCTTTAACATACTACTGAAAATATTTAAACAAGCATGATTTCTTTATATAAATGAATGCTAGTAAAATAGTTCTTAATGAAATTTTCAGACAAACATTTATAATGTATCAGTGAGCACATAATGTAATTACTTGTGTTTGATAGTCGTCTCCAGTTACAATATTTCCTACAACTCTCAGGGCTGCTGATACCACACTTTGATGATTGTGCCTGAAAATATAGTCAAACATGTACAACATATATATTGACATAAATGTATCATGCTATGGTGTTTACTTATTTCAAATGACAAATCAGGGCCTTTTCCAGCTATTATGGGAAAAGACCCTGGCATAAATTGGGAAACGTTGACATTTTGAATTTTATTAAAAAGATGAATGTTTTTATATGACTCAGTTCCTTAACACGTGTATGATCATATAACATGTCAATAATATTAAGAAACAAGTCAAACAGTTCAATTTTTCTCAGAAGCTAAAACAATTTATGTGCTGCTGTTCTGTTTTTTAAAATTGGGGAAAAAAGAGAGGCTATTTTGGATTGTGCATGGGGCCTTACTTCGGTCCCTTGTGATAAGGTTATTATTGCCAAGTTCAAATTAAGATAAAAGACTTGAAGAAATGTGCTCTGTAAAAGTAATGGATATTATGATATTGATAAATTTTAAAGAAAACATTGTTTTCAACATATCAAAGTATTCCTGATACTTGACTTAAACCATATGGGAATATTTCTTATTGCTTTGTTCTGTATATATGACTTGAAAATGCTAGTTTCATAACACGATAATGATTTTAAATAGTTACACAGGAAATGCATGTAAAACAGAACCCAGTCACTTGTGAATGCACATGTAAGTACCACAACTTGAAACTACTTGTGGTTATTATTGATACAATTATTAAATTTCCTGAAGCCTTTTCTTTTTGGTGAAATTATTAAAATTTCCTGATAAATGTTGTGGTTCTACCACCAGGAAATTTCAATATGACAATAAATCAAATCGAATGATATAACTAAATAACAAAATAAGTTCTCGTTCTTACTTTAAAGAAGTTTCACAATTCAATCAAAACATATAATTTGATACAATCAGGAAGAAGTACATTACAAGTAATAGCAATGACTTTAGCAGTTTCTTTCCTGACTTCTACATTTACTCCTATTTGCCACACTACAATTCTGTACAATTTAACATTTTGTGCTACATATCTGTTCATACAGTTGAATCTATATATATCTCAAAGAAGACTATACTTAAAATTAAAGGAGATCTTGGTAAGAAAGCTGTATATCTTTAATCCATGTAATAATTCTCTACTAATTATTTTGTACTATGCCAGCAACATCATGAGAAAAGAGACTTACATAAGAAGTTCAACAAGTCTTCTACACACTCCGGAGTCAATCACAGCTTGTATTTTTTCATTAGGACCATCCGAGAGATATGACAGTGCCCAACATGAGTCTGCTAACACATCTTTATCTGTGTGGTATAATAGTCTGGCAAGCACTGGCAGGGAGGGTGATACCTAAATAATTATTTTATACATAATCAAAATCTGAGGAAGAAAAGTAACACATCAACACAAGTTTGGTTTAAGGAAATTTTTTTTCTACTAGTTTCAGTTCATCACTTTACCTTCATCAGGATCAGGTTTTCTTGAAGTTTTAAAATTCTCAATATAACAAACGAAGTATTTCTTGAATTCTTTTAAAGGTAAACATATCATTATGATATTATAATTTTTCTTTATACTCAACAACAGCATTTACATACTGCTTACAGTGTACATTTGAATGCGATATTTAAATGAGATAGGTAAAACTGTATTTTCTTCGTACCTACATCTCTTTCAAAATTTTCAGAAGTTAATAGGAGGAAGCCCTTTAGTGCAGTATGTGAAATGGATAATATAAATGAACAAGATTATGTACCTTTGTAAAGTCTGGAGGTGGGTTCTTGCCTCTACAGAGATTTGACAAACACCAAACAGCATTTCTTGTCATGGATAAACTATTGCTTTTACTTAATAACCTGCACAAAGAAATAAAGTTTATGAGATATAGGAATCATGCATTCTGTTTCAGTTGATAATATTCAACTATAAATTACATTTCCACTTAACTTTAACTAGAACTATCACTAAATGTGATTAATACCCCCACATGACTGCTTCGGAAATGAGGATGTTATTAGTAACAGATTACCTTGTAAAAGAATTGAAATATAGAGTTATGGTTGTGGGCAATTAAAGATAGTTGTGGTTCTTATATGTTGCATTTCCTTTCAATGTGGTTGGCCATTGATGAAGTTTAATTGAATTACTCTGTAATAAGTCCAGAAAGACAAAGAAAAGGAACAAAGGGCAATAACTCTATAAATACTGAAGATAGAGTTATAGTTATTGTGCACTGCACTTCCTCTTATTGTGCTTGACCATTGTATTTAGTTGTTTTGAATCCCAACCAGTATGTTTTAAGTTATGCTCCTGACAAGAAAAAGTATCAAAGGGCAGTAACTCTGTATTTTGTCAAAATGGAGTTATGGCTCTTGTGCACTGCACTTCCTTTTAATGTTCTTGACAACTGTATGAAGTTGTATTGAATTCCAACCATTAGTTTTCAAGTTATGCTCTGGACAAGGAAAAGTAACAAAGGGCAATAACTCTGTAATTAGTCAAGATGGAGTTATGGTTATTGTGCACTGCACTTTCTCTCAATGTGCTTGACCATTGTATGAAGTTATATTGAATTCCAACCATTAGTCTTCAAGTTATGGTCCGGACAAAAAAGGCAATGGAAAAGTAACAAAGGTCAATAACTCTGTAATTACTTTAGATAGAGTTATGGTTTTTGTGCACTGCACTTCCCCTTATTGTGTTTGACAATTGTATGAAGTTGTTTTGAATTCCAACCAGTACTTTTCAAGTTATGCCCCGGACAAGGAAAAGTAACAAAGGGCAATTACTCTGTAATTAGTCAACATAGAGTTATGGTTCTTATGCACTGCACTTCCTCTCAATGTGCTTGACCATTGTATGTAGTTATATTGAATTCAAACTATTAGTCTTCAAGTTATGGTCTGGACAAAAAAAAGCAATGGAAAAGCAACAAAGGGCAATAACTCTGTAATTACTTTAGATAGAGTTATGGTTTTTGTGCACTGCACTTCCCCTTATTGTGTTTGACAATTGTATGAAGTTGTTTTGAATTCCAACCAGAACTTTTCAAGTTATGCCCCTGACAAGGAAAAGTAACAAAGGGCAATAACTCTGTAATTAGTCAAGATAGAGTTATGGTTCTTGTGCACTACACTTCCTCTCAATGTGCTAGACCATTGTATGTAGTTATATTGAATTCCAACCATTAGTCTTCAAGTTATGCTCCGGACAAGGAAAATGCAACGGACGTCTGGACCGACCGACTGCCCGCCCGACTTACCACCGGGTGACTCCTAAAAAAATTCCCAAAGACTTGGACAACATTAAACCAATGTAACACTTATTCTTTTTTTTTGAGAGGGGGGGGGGTTTACGTCACATCGACACATTGTAGGTCATATCGTGACGTTCCAGCTTTACTGGTGGAGGAAGACCTCAGGTGCCCTTCTGTGCATTATTTCAGGCACGAATGGGCACCCGAGTAGAACCACTGACGTTCCGTAAGCTAGCTGGATAGCTTCCTCACATGAAAGAATCCAAAGTCCCTGTCGGGATTCGAACCCACAGCGGTGAGGGGCAAGTGATTTAAAGTCTAACACTTATTCAATTTTCCTCTATGAACAATAGAAAGTCAAATATTAAATTTGCATCAACTTACTGTAATAAAGGTACAAGAATTCCTTCACTAAGAACATAGTCTCTACATTCTGGGCTGTCTCCAGCTATGTTTCCTAAAGCCCAAACTGCCTGAAATAGTAATGTTAAATTTAAGTTATGTACTTAAAAACATTATCATCTATAAAGAACATCTCAAACATCAAAACTACTCGACTTATACAAACTTTTCTCTTATTTCCTTATTTTTTTAACCTGAAGACTCAACTGTTAGTTATTGAATCTCCAGTGAAACTAAGTTGTTAATGATACTGATATATGTAATGTATCAAACAGTCTTTTATTGATAATCCATCCGCTATGTTTCCATACTTATGATACAAGCATTTTCATCAGAACAACAATTTGGTCAGTCTACTAATGTTCAGTGTTTAATGTCAGCTCCTTAAATCACTGTCTTTTACAAGATACATACCTGTTCTTGCACATCTTCTATATCGGAGCTGAGGAGACGGACAAATATTGGTACAGCATTAGCTGCAATAACTACTCTAGTCTGGAGAGATGAACCGGACGCTATGTTAGTTAATACCCACGCTGCTTCAAACTGTAATACATCAATATAATCAACTTACTATCTAATATATAAATAGACTGGCAATACAATATGTATAAATCACAATAAACTAAAGGGTATAAAACATGAGAATAAATGGCCCTACAGAAATTTTCCGCTTGATTCTATCTGTGCTCTAGCAAGAAAAATAATATTGATATTACAATTTATTTATAAGGCACTGTTACACCAATAAATTCAGTAAATTACTAAAAATAGAATGTTTTTCTGTTGTTTTTTTAGCAATGAAAAACAATCATTATAACAAATAGTAGAATTCAATGCACATTTAAGTATATTTTACCTGTAATGTGTAGCTTCCATCTGTTTCAAGAAACTCAACAAATCGTGGAATGATTCCAGTCTGTATAACTTCATCTATTGGTGGATTTGGCTCTACAAGTTAACAACAAAATTATGTAATAATTGGGATGAAATAATCATTTGCAAAAGCTTTATATGTTAATATCATAGTGTCTAGTAATTTAACATAATGGTGTACATTAACAAAATCTTAGGTTTTATTTCATGCAAAAGGGTCACAGCTAAAGATAATTAGTAGTTTTTTCCCCTCAAGATAATTATAGAATTCACCCTGTCAGTATCATTTATTTTTCCAATCTGAAAAATTTGAATTCAGAAAAGAAATTGGAGTGTACAGTTATGAAAAGGACAGAAGTTACTTAACAATAATTTAAGACAGAAACCCATTATATGTTTAAATCTATTTAACTTTTATAATAAATAAATGAATACCTCTGGAAAGCAATTTTCTAAATTTCTGTGTAGCTTGTTCTTGTTTATCAAGATCTTCACTGTATAAATCTTGCACCATCTCAGGGGTAATACCACCTTGCTGCAAATAATAAAAAAATTTTTTTCACACTAATGTACACTGCCTGCATATGATTTCAATTAAGTTTTCATGAAATATCAACATAACAGTGACCAAAACTTCAATGTGCGAAAATCATGATATTAAAAGCTTTTCTACATTTTTTTTCTATTTTTTTTCTTTAGCTACAATAATGAACAATGTATGTTAATAAGTTAAACTATAATTTACCCCTAAAGAAGATGTTGAGGTGACAGTATGATCTGTAGCATCTGACCCAGTTACATCCTCATCACCATCTGCTGGTAGTGTCACATTTCTCTTCTTGAATAACTAAGGAAAAGAAAACAACATATATTCAACATATTTCTTGAAATTTCCTACAGTCTGCAGCTAACATTATTACCTTTAAACCCTTATAATGTTCATAGAATAAGTGAGTATACTTTTCCATGTCTTTATATACCAGTAAGTTGATGTGTGTTTCTCCCATATATAATTTTTGTAATAATTTACTTGATTAGATTATTAATTCCTTGCAAGAATTACAAACTCTTGACCAATGTTATTTCAAAAAGGAAGTATTTGCTTTAAAATTTTATATACTAACTTGTTCATCACGTTTTTGTTTACGTAGTTGGATACCTTCTTCTTCTCTCCGTCTTCTTAATTCAAGGGAATCTAAAGCTTTATTTTTGTATGATTTCAAACGATGGGCAGGTCCAGTGCTATCTGCAGACATCTGAAAATATCATTTAAAATAAAGTTACTGACAAGATAGGAGCAATGTGCTAACTTTGGCTAGTAAAATATACATTATGAAATGTAAAATAACAAAAATTATCAGATTATTCAGATAAATTGCCATGAATGTCAATAGATATATTATCAATGAATCAGTAATAATTACTTCTTAAAAACAAGTTATTTATAAAAAAAAATCATTAAAAAAAGTTAGAAACACATGGGTATTGTTTTCTTATCTCTCTGCCCAGATTATCCTGTAAAGGTCAATCTCATAATCATGTGGTCAAACATTTTGACAAGATGGTGGCTAAGAATATTTTACCTGTCGGAAACTATGAGGGAGTTATAATAAGTTTTTTATATGTCCATCCTTGGCTTATCAACAGATTAGACATAGTAGTTTTACCGGGGTATGCTTCACTTACTTCATGGCATGCTGAATGTATGAATACAAGTGTTTCAGATTCCTTTCAAGATTATTGGTGGACTTTCCCTAAGGAGCTGTCTTCAGCGTTGAGGGCATGTCATCAGGTCAAGGATTTCATGATATTTATGGACTGTCCGTAAATTTATACATAGTCTAGAATTTTAAAGATTTTTCAATCCATAAATTTACAGATGTTCAATGTGAAATTTGCTGTTTTTGGTTTTACACTAAAAAGTAATATCCTAATCATAAGATATGTTGTTTTATTGATTGATTATATTTACAAAAGTAATGGGGTAATGAGTTTCATCTTTGTATGATGATTTTGAAATTTTTGTTAAAAGTGAAAATTGAAAGTCATCAAATTGCTCTGAAACTTATCATACTGTTATATTTATTCATATTATACGTAAGTTACGTAACCCTATTCAATTTAACCTGCGGTTTTGAATTTTAATGCAATTTCTACTATTTTCTTACTTGATGTCTAAAACAATCTGTAAAATTATGGATCGTCCAAAAATTTACAGACTGTTCATAAATATCATGAAATCCTATAGTCCAATATATTAGACGTTACAGGCTTGTTATAGTTTATGTCGGTCAAGCCTGACGTCTAATAGGTATTGCTCAAAAACGCATAGCATCATAAAAAATTCAAAAAATGTCTTTTGTCTTGCCTTTCAAGCTTTATTCAAAAGCTTATCTTCTTTTCTTTCAATTTCATGCTCAATCATACACAAAAACTCTCAAACAATGTACTTATCAATTTAAAATAAAATATAAACATCAATCTATTTTTGTCTATCAGCCATACTGGTTAAGCAAGGTGCTTTACAGATTGATTCCAAACTTTTGAACGGAATATATTCGAACACACTGACGGAGCATGGGCAATTATTTCGTTAAAAAAATATTCCGTTAGATTGTTTTGACTCATTTAACGCTTGCACTTGAATTAGCCAATCAGATTTCGCGCACTTTATGGCCGCCATTTGTTTATCGGCTGTAAAAAGAATTGAAATACATGAGAGGATTTAATCATGATTTTTCGGATGTGACAGTTTAATTATTTTGACAAAAGGTATTTTTTTTTTAGTTTTGTTCATAAATAGGTCAAAACTTATGTAAATACACGCTGTCTTCATTGTTTTTCGTTCCGCCCGATTTTCTGGCGGAACATGCTATGGGTTTTTGAGCTATTTCGATATGACATTGCTTTGCCCAGAAGCAAAAATATCTCGCAGCGACGTCATATTTATAGGACTAGAAATCCTAGACCTGGTCTTTATAATATAAATGGGTACGCTGAATACCTTAAACTAGCTATAACTATCATAATCAAAATTATTTAAAGGAAACAATTAAATGATGTATACAAGTCAACTAAGGTCACTCAGGTGCTATTGCGGTGATTTGGAGGGGGGGGTGAATTATCTTGGGGGGTGAAGGTTCTTCAAAAGAATTAGTAACGATTCGCCACACTAACGATTCGCCACAGAGTAATAACGATTCGCCACAGTTAAATAACGATTCGCCACAGTATGATTATAGATCTAACAATGATTTTTTTTTAGTTATCAACAAACTTTTTCCTTTTGTTTTAATAATTTGACAATGACAATAATTTAATAATGTTTCTTAATACAATTAACATGAACTTAAAGCCCCCATCGCGGATTTTCAATTTATCAAAGTAACATTATTACAGGAGTACATTTACAAGAAAGAAATTATATGTTGAAATAAATATTGAATTTATCATAAACATAAATGTCAATTTATATTTATATATATAAATATATATTTCATATATTATATATATGTCAAATATTTAAAAAAAATATTGCAAAAACATGTGATCATTACGAAAATTGATTTACGATAATTGATTAAAGAACGCATATCTTAAACATTTGTCACACCTTTAATTCAAATAAGCCAATCACCTTAAGCTTGTTGTAGAAATATTTAATTGACGCCGAAATAATCCTTTAATTATCTGACAATGTGAGCAGATTTCAAAACAATGCGGCAATTAAGCTTATTTATTGGCGACGCCGGTGAGCGGCGTCGTCTATTATGGAATGCTTTTTATTTTTGCCTATGGAAGGAGCTGTTATTATTAGCAGTTAATTTCATGTTGTGTTAATTATGTAAATTTTGTAATAATATATATGTTAGTTATATAAATGTGTATAAATTAGTAGTTACTACAATCAGATAATAAAGCTATACTTGTAAATTTAGGAAAATCAGTGTTGCATCTAGGACGCGCGATTGCGCGATTTGCGCATATTTTATGCAGATCGCGCATTTTAATGAAGTCAACGCGCGCCAAGTCGCGCATCTGACAATTTTTTAACTTTATTCAGTTTATCTTCATCGTGTCTTGAAAGCTTCAGCCATGTTTGTTTTCACTCGTGGTAATGACTAAAATACGTACTAAAAAGCGTGTAGCAGCCGACTGGGTCATCTCGCGTGTATTTTGTAGTATTCGTCAATATTTTATTTTTTCTACTTCCGTTTTTTAGCCGACGATAGCTGTCAAAAATGCCTGAACGTAAAATAAATGAATTATTTTCGATAAGTCATAGTGTAAGGTAAATGTATGTCCCCCACATTTTTTTCAAGTCCCCCACATTTTTCAGTTGAGTGGGGGACAATCCCCCATAATTTTGAAATTCTAGATGCAACACTGGAAAATATATAGATGTAGCTAATAAAAAAGCTACAATAATTGTTACTACCGGTTGATAATTCATAACACATTTTGAAATGTTAATTGTTTCAACTTATTATCGTTAAAAAGATACATGTAATCACGGATTTACATCCGTGATGTAATACTATACTTTTGACGCTGTTAATTATTGTCACGTCTTTTCTGTTTTTTTGGTGTTTTTCTTCTTACTGGAACTTTTTATTTCTATGAATGATAATGAAATTGTGATGTTCTCAGAGTTCCAGATAATTTTTTTACACTGGGGGTAATTACCCCCACTTTTCAGAATGTGGGGGTAAATTTAGATATATCGTAAATCTAAAGGGTACAATTAAATGACTTACTTTTTTGTACAAAAATAATATGATCCTTTGAAAATAGAATATTTTTTAATGAAAATACATTAAAGATATTTATTTTGTATTAATTTAGCAGATATTCAGCGTGAATTCACTTCAATTGAAAGGCCTTTACCATATTCTTATTTTATTTTATATTGTTTACAACAAAAATTGGTGACAATACATAAACAGTAACGTTACAAATAATCATCAATCAATTGCCGATTTCTGCATGTTTATTGCACCTTCATTAGCCCATACATTGCCAGCTTTAAATTTATGACAAGTCAGATATTTCATTCGTACTTCAGTACCAGTTTCTGAAATTTGAAGCCACGGATAACATTTTTGCCAATTTTCAAGTGTTGTGTTGCGATTCACAATTATGTGCGCCCTTTTCGTTTTAAATACACGATCTAAAATGTCTTCAACAATAGGATTCACAATTGTTTTAGTGTGTAACTGAGTTGCGTTAAAAAATTGTCAATTTTCCTCTGCTTTGGTTTGGAAGCAGCCATGATTTACGTCTTTATTAACAAACGCTTGCAATTATAAATGGAAATCAAGCCACACGTTTTACCAAGCGTCTACGCGATAAAGACATAATTTGACTGGTTTACAGAATGAAAAGTAGTTGGAAGTATTTTGGCGGGTATTAAACGGAAAAAGATACACAGTCAACTGTTAAACGGAAATGGAATCAGCTGTTTCGAAAATGAAAGTACACACCAAATACGCTTCGATTTTTCATTCTTTGCGTATTTAATTTATAGCGTGCGTAAATGAACGCAACAAATTTGAAATATGGTGCGTATTTAGCTGCTTTTGAAGCGTAAAATACGCCGATACGCACGTTATCTGGAACTCTGGTTCTTTGTTCCTTTATTTGCAGCTGTCTGTTCTCCGTTAGAATGTCATCAGTTAAAACTTTTTATGTTCTTCTTATTATTTTTTTCTTTACTTTTGTCATGTGACCACAGAATTATTATATTTGTAATTATTGTATGTAACGAGATACTGTAAATGTATAAGTTACCGAAATAAACTATTTCTACTTCTTCTATAAATAACTTATCTAAAATGTGTAATGTAATTTTAGTAATAAAATATTTATGTGTCTTTATTTAAAAAAAAAAGCTTTCGTATAATTTTCCAGTTTATTTATAAGTTTTTCTCATCTACAATGTGTGATGTAATTTTGGTAATAAAATATATTTATTTTCATGTGTTTTTATTCTATAAAAGTTGTTAGTATATTTTTCCAGTTTATATAAATAACGAAGTTATAAAATGTGTTACGTAATTTTGTTAATAAAATATTTGGTTTTCGTGTGTTTTTTATTCAATAAAAGCTGTATTCAGTGTAATTAATTTATGTAATTAACAAGGAAGTGGCTAGCCGTACGGGCCCGTACGGCTAGCCAAAAGTTCTAGCCGTACGTGAGTCACGTACGACTAGCCAGGACACACTGTATTGGCTAGCCGTACGGCACTTTTCAAAAATATATGGAAGGCGAAAGTGCATATGTTAATTATGACTTAAAGCGAGAATTTTAGACAAGAATGTTTACTTTTTAGAGATTAATCGACGCGTTGGCTACAGTAAAGAATGTACTTCGTCATCTCAAGACGTCGAGAAAAAATAGCGTTTGGTTGCAGTTAAATAACACAATTGAAATAGTTTACAAAATTTTGATGATAATCCTTTTTTTGTTCCATTAAGTTTAATTTTTAAATTGAAAAAAAAACACCGAAAATAATTGTTGTTGGGCTCTGATAATTGCGTCAATTACCGTCGGTATAGAAGTTTGTCCATCGTCCATCATTAAGGAAAGTTTGCATTATTAAATTATTTTTCTTTTTCACTGTTTTTTTTAATATTCTTTTTTTTATTTACATGTATTTATTTATTCCCCTCCGATCATTATTTATTCGATCCATGTGCTTAACAGATTTAACAATTCATCTTTCATACAAATCATAAGCATGAACATTAAGGACGTTAATTTTATTAAGCTAGATTATACAACGCTTACTCGTATTCATTTTTTTTTTTTGCAAAATTGCGGAGCATCTTTATTGAAGTGAACAAACTAGGACAAATGCGGAGATTTGATTAAAATCGTCGTTTAAAGACACAAAATAAAATATGCATTTTCGACTTCCATATATTTTTGAAAAGTGCCGTACGGCTAGCCAATACAGTTTGTCCAGGCTAGTCGTACGTGACTCACGTACGGCTAGAACTTTTGGCTAGCCGTACGGGCCCGTACGGCTAGCCACTTCCAATTAACAAATGAAATATAAAACGGAAAAAAAATCCCATCAACAATTTGAAAACATGTGTGAAAAAGTTTGTATTTGAACACGTGGCGAATCGTTCTTTAACTGTGGTGAATCGTTATTACTCTGTGGCGAATCGTTACATTACCCTTCAAAATTCGAGAGACTATCTAGTGGGTGTAGTGTCTTGTTCCCTGTGCTAAGGCCCGAATTGGTTGAAATCAACAGCATATAAAAACTAATTTCACAATCAGTTTCATATAAAAGATACGTATAATAGGCATATATTGAGAACAGATATCAAAATTATTTCAACTTCGTAGAAAACAAACAAAATGAAACATGTGCTTCCAAAATATTTCATCTTGTGGACATGAATAAAACTGGGATTCGATGAGTAAATAAGCAATTAATCTATTGAGCAATTGTAGATAGAAAATAATTGTTAACTATAACAAATTTACCTCTTAATCTGTTTGTAAATATTTGTAAACTTTGAATAAAAAAGTGCTAGTTTTCCTTTCAGGTTCCGTCTCAGCTGTTAGTAATACGCATGCGTGATAAAATATTTTTTTATCAAAATGATTAGTGTGTGTATTTATATACAATTTTTTATTCTTTCTATTTAATTTCTTTATGTCTTGATGGTTATTAATACAAAATATCCTTAAAAAATACCCTCGGACATTCTCAAGGTTTGTTACGAGATTGAAATTAAAGATGGCTGCGCCTATGAACAACAATGCTGACTTTTACTGTCCCTGTGAAGATTTCATGCAATTTGAGGTAGTGTCATGTAACCGTATGCAAAAATTGTGAAATGACTGTCTTCACATGAAATGAAAAACAAAGAAATTATATCTTATTTTGCTCATTTATCTCTCTAAACCAATTATTGAATAAACGGTGCTAATGACGAATTGCTTGCTCGTGAGAATGATCCAACTTGAATGTTAGATTACAAGACTTTTTACCTCATAGACGTTTCGACCTTCGAATTTTCGTTTGCAAAACCCTGGTCTTTTCAACACTTTTTAAAAAAAAAAGTGATCTACCAATAATCTCTCTATGGAAAGGAATTTCACATTGAGTTGTTTTCCAGAGTGCGATAAATTTGTATGAATTATGCGAATTTATGGACAGGTCGGACCGTGAGACAGGGCGGACCGTACCAAGGCGGACCATATGTTTAGACGGGATGGACCATATTTTTGGGACGGGGCTGACCGTGACTCGAGACAAGGCGGACTGTGCTTAATTTCATTTCAAATTATATACTTGCTATTTCACTTATCTTTTGATATCAATGTCATCATAAACATGTCATATATTTATGTCATAGATTTTTTTTCTGCCAAAATATGATGTGATGTCATACAGTCATGTGACTTAAAATGGGATGTATGATGACAGGTCAGGACCTGTCAATTTTGTTTGTTTAGAAAGACCGATGTATGCAATGGTGGAAAAGGAATGACAGACTATTCTCTCCCTTACCAGTTCCTCTCCCTGACGGTTCTCTCCCAAACTGTTTCCTCCCCTGACGGTTCTCTCCCAAATTTGAAATATGCAGACAGTTCTCCCCCAATTTTTATTTGTAAGTTATCATTTTAGTTTTGACTTAATCTAATAATATTTCTTGAAGATTTTAAAAGAATGTATTTGATATTAAGTAAAAAAGTGTGTATTTGATTAAGAAAAGTGTTTGTAAATTTAACACCTTTTTCAGATATTTTAATCCTATTAACACCTTCATTGTGAGAGGTTAAGATTATTGGACAGTGACTGATATACATACACCTGTCATTATGTTAAGGTCTAGGGATATTCATTAATTTGTTAAATAGCGAATAAGGTGGTAACAAGTATGTTATAGAAAATAAATAAGCAACAACTGGTATGCAATCACATAAATGAAATAAAATAAATTCACATTTACTTTTATATACAAATTTGATTAAAGAACATGTAGTCATTGACATGAAACAATATATATTACCAAATAACTAATTTAAATATTTGTTTATCAACACCTTTTCACAGTTATTTAAATCATTAGATTACACCTTGATTTTTGAATAATGAATTAATAAACACCTTAATTATCTCTGACAGCAAACTTAATGCACATGTGTATTGAACTCCTTTCTTCATTATACAAAAGTATGAAATTTAGCAATTAAAATTTATAAATCATGTTTTTCTTATAATTTTTTTTCTAATTTATTAAAAAAAAAACAAAAAAAAACCCTCACCCAATACACGGATTTATATTTATATAAATCCGTGCCCAATAATAAATACACATGTATGATCAAGTAAATTAAACACATTATTAAATATATGTTAGATCTAATAAAAAAATCAGAATAATATACTACTAATATGCTAAAAATATTTTTTTATCTAATCTATATCAATTTATCATAAACATGCCCATGTATTGAACATCTAGGTACTCAAATAAAAAAATTTGTTCTCTTATTTATATCAATTAATATAATAATTTGATAATAAATTTATCCATTTTTTAAACATCTAAATACTTAATAGTATTAATAAAAATAAAGATGGGGAGGAACTGTCTGCTTATTTGCAAATATGCAGACGGTTCTCCCCCAAAATAGGGAGAGAACCGTCAGGGAGGAAACGTCAGGGGAGGAACTGGTAAGGGAGAGAATAGTCTGACTACCGTGGAAAAGGATAATATTAAATGAAAAATAAGCAGTCTTTGAAATTAAAGTTTAAAAATGGTTGTCATTTGGGCAGCCAACTCAAGAAAAGCTGGTTGTCCGAAGTAAAAACTAGTTGCCCGAATATTTTCATCAGAACATCTCCAAGCAATTATTGATCAAATCTGCAAACTTATCTTTAGTGTGAAACTATCATAAATGTAAGCAAACTAATTGTATTTGATATTTTGCATTTTTATCACTATTCGTTGACATTTTGATGAATACTTTCTGCAAATGTTAACTTGTCCATCGGACAAGTAAACTTTTAAAAATTGGTTGTCCGGATCAAAAAATGGACAATAGGACAGCTGCAAATTTCGCACACTGAATGAGGAAGGATATGTGAATTATTTTCATTAGAAAACTTAACAAAAATATTGTAAAACTTTGAGATAGTGAATATTACTAGAGCATGTCAATGTAAACAGTTGGCAGGTTATGCTATCACGACAATATGGCGAGATATATGAATACACCCGGTACCGTGGTGAGCCACTGGTATAGTGTGTGTTTGAGTATACTATGCTCCTCTTAGTTCACAGCACTTAAAGCTTTTGAAACAAGTAGGAGAATAAAAAATAACTTACAGACCAGAAAATATTCATAAGCTGTAACATTTAGGTATTTTCTATTGTATGACACAAGGAAAAACAACATATTAAATCAATCAAAATCTAATTTTAATGGGCAAGATGTAGACCATAGGTCGGCAATTTTGAAAACAGTATGTCATCATTTAAATGGCAGTAAATGGTAATACCATGCATGCCTCTCTGCTGGGGGACAACCCCCCCCCCCCCCCCCCGGTCGGCAATTTTTGAAAACAGTTATGTCATCATTTTAAATGGCAGTAAATGGTAATACCATGCATGCCCTCTCTGCTGGGGACAACCCCCCCCCCCTCCCCCGGGGCCCCCCCCCCCCCCCCCCCCCCCCCACCCCCCCCCCCCCTCCAATTTGACATTGTTGGGCTAGACATTATAATGAAATTAGGCAAAGCCTTATGAACGGGGAAGTCAGTTAAAAAAAATCTTTAATTTATCCTTTTTAAAGTTGTCATTCGGTATTTTTATGTACTGCTTTCGGTATTTTTATGTACTGCTTCCGTTTTCACTCAGTATACTTGACGATTATTATTAATCCGAAGAGTTGCGATTGTTCATTATCGGAATATCCCGTCTATTATCATTGAGTTACATTGAAAATGGCGGTGCTAGACTAGAACTGACACTGAAAATTTCATTGATAATAAATACACATGTATGATCAAGTAAATTAAACACATTATTAAATATATGTTAGATCTAATAAAAAAATCAGAATAATATACTACTAATATGCTAAAAATATTTTTTTATCTAATCTATATCAATTTATCATAAACATGCCCATGTATTGAACATCTAGGTACTCAAATAAAAAAATTTGTTCTCTTATTTATATCAATTAATATAATAATTTGATAATAAATTTATCCATTTTTTAAACATCTAAAAATACTTAATAGTATTAATAAAAATAAAGATGGGAGGAACTGTCTGCTTATTTTGCAAATATGCAGACGGTTCTCCCCAAAATAGGGAGAGAACCGTCAGGGAGGAAACGTCAGGGGAGGAACTGGTAAGGGAGAAGAATAGTCTGACTACCGTGGAAAAGGATAATATTAAATGAAAAATAAGCAGTCTTTGAAATTAAAGTTTAAAAATGGTTGTATTTTCTATTGTATGACACAAGGAAACAACAACATATTAAATCAATCAAAATCTAATTTAATGGGCAAGATGTAGACCATAGGTCCGGCAATTTTGAAAACAGTATGTCATCATTTAAAATGGCAGTAAATGGTAATACCATGCATGCCTCTCTGCTGGGGACAAACCCCCCCCCCCCCCCCCCGGTCGGCAATTTTGAAAACAGATATGTCATCATTTAAATGGCAGTAAATGGTAATACCATGCATGCCTCTCTGCTGGGGGACAACCCCCCCCCTCCCCCCCCCGCCCCCCCCCCCCCCCCCCCCCCCCCCCCCCCCCCCCCCCTCAATTGACATTGTTGGGCTAGACATTATATGAAATTAGGCAAAGCCTAAAATGAACGGGGAAGTCAGTTTAAAAAAAAAATCTTTTAATTTATCTTTTTAAAGTTGTCATTCGGTATTTTTACGTTTTCACTCAGTTATACTTGACGATTATTATTTAATCCGAAGAGTTGCGATTGTTCATTTATCGGAATATCCCCGGCTATTATCATTGAGTTACATTGAAAATGGCGGTGCTAGACTAGAAACTGACACTGAAAAAATTTCATTGATAATGCGTTATAGAATTCTATATATCTTAAGTATCTCTAGTGATAATTTTTTTTCCCTAAACGCTGTTTTATTTTCAGGAAGCTCTGAAACGTTTGAGAGTTGATGATGATAAAAAATTATATATCAGCTGAATGAAATTATACCAACCCCATCAATTTTCTGGAAAAGTTAACACCACTGAAACAATGTAAATCTTTGTATGAAAGGGTAAGATCTTTTCCCCACAAGATAGACTAGCTTCTTATATTTTCTGCTTCTACGGTAATTTGTGTGTTTTATAATTTACTTAGTGCTGTTGCATTGCCATTTTTTGGTGTTCATTGTTGTCACAATTACATATCACGATACTTTGCATTTCCAAACGATGCAATTTCACAATATGTATAAATTGCATAATTTGATATTATGCGATTTGCATATTGCGAAATTCTTAATGTTTCGAATGCAATCGTATCACAATAACTGACTTTCAGAACTTTATCTATATAAAAAACTTTTGGTTCATTTGTTCACATCATGATTACGAATTGTAATTTAAAACTATTTACCAATAAACAAAACAATAAACTC